TGGGTCACGTGTCCTTGTGTGCTTACAAACACACAATACATGCTCTTCTGCGAGTTTCTCAACCTACAGTGAACACATACTGTACGTATGCATATATGCATGGATGAGAAAGTCTGCTAAGCAACCAGAAAGTCCAGAGAGCGCGCAGGAGACTGTTTTTGGTGATTGCAGAGGCTGCAGGCAGCTGTAGGCCTCCCAGGACCGCTGATGTAATGCGTGATTCATTTCCGTCGAGAGTCACACGGCGTCCCGATACCCCCCCCCCCCCCCCCCCCCCACCTTCTGAACAAGCCGGGAGGCGAATCACCCAGTGCTCCAGTGTCCCAGTGGAGATGTCAGCAGGAGGGAGGGGCATTGTAACATATTGGTGGGTTGCTTAGAAAGGAGCGAGGCCAGACGCCGCCCGGATCGGCGGTGGCGGGGGCGGTGGGCTTTCGGGGTACGCGCCGACGTTTGTTCACGTTGACCTCCTTAGCCCTCAGTTTCCTCCCCAAGGTTCTTTGAAGGCCCCGTCTCCTCTCTGTCGTTCACCTTATATACCGAGTGAAACATTAGGATAATAGGAATAAAAGATCCCCCCCCCCACCCCAGCCCGCTACCCCCATCAGGAAATCCACTTAGGTGATTTCCCGCACCCGAGGAGCGCTCACGGGCGAACAATAAAACGTGTGATCCTGATGTCATGGCCGCGGCCGCTCGCTGGATTCCACAGTGATGGGCTCATCCGTCAGTGCTGGTGTTTCCATCAGCCCGTCTGTGAGAGAAGGGGGGCGGGCGGCGGGGGGGGGGGGGGCGAGTGAGCTATGGCGGACGCGGCAGCTGGGGCGATCCTGGGTAGGAGGGGGGGACAGTTTGCGGCGAACAGCGGGGGCTTTCTGATCAGATTGTTTGTTTGGAGAGGGAGTGTGAGCGGTGAGTGGAGCTTCTGTCCTGGGAGCTTTCCCAGCATGCCACGGTGCAACCCCCCCCCCCCCCCCAACTCTGTCATTCTTCAAAATGTACTATTTGGTTTCTGTCTATAAATTTTTCAGTTTCCCTATTAAATATAAGGTAATTGCATTGTCTTTATATGACGCCTGAAGCTATAGGCCTAATTAAAGCCAAGACACAAAGGGGCATAGAATTCAGCCGTATTTATTAAGTAGACATATTAATTATGTAAGTCTTTGATAAAATGAGCAATATTCAGGGTGGGGGACATGATTTCAGCAAAGCCGGCAGTTGGGGGGGGGGGGGGGGGCGAGATCTGATCGAGAAAAAGCATTTTTCTGTTTCCATGACAATCTTGGAGCTTGATGCTGTTTATGTCTCTCATGGTGTGAAACTTAAGCGGACAGAATAACGGAAAGGCGGCCCTTTCGCTCTTCCGGAGGCCCATGGGGCGTCTCTCACCCAGTGACGGCGAGCGCTCAACTTGCGTGACGAGCATGCCGACTGCCCGTGTGTCGCCACGTGCACATGTGTGTGCGTCAGGGTGTGGGTGTTTGTCTGGGTGTCTGGGTGCAGAGTGATGGGTAGTGGAGGAGGGGGCGTGGCCTAGCATGTGCAGCCGAGAGCTGACTACAGCAGGAAGTTCTTCTCCTCGGCGCCTGAGGTGTCGGACTGGAGCAGGTGCACCTGAGAGGTCCGTCGTCCGTTCCCATGGTTTCAGCCCCGACGCAGGAGGGGGGAAGACTGACCAGGGACAGACATGCCGGCCCTGGGGTCTATCACAGCATGATACATTTAGCTTCCTAATGCCACTTCGGATGATCTCGGTAACTTTTCTTTATTACATAGCATAAAATTTTTATCACCAGAATAATGCCACAGAAGAGAGGTAAGAGGAAACGGCAGGGACGACGGCCCGCGACGGCTGCCTCTCGGGGGTTTGTGGGCTGTAAGGTATCGGGTTACCTCCGGCCGTAAACCGCGCTGGGTTTGGCATCGGTCTCCTGGGATGGCACCGCCACTGGTCCAAAACCCGCAAGTGCTGGTAAAGAAGCTGGCACCTGACCTCTGAGAGGGGTGGCTTTTGCTTAACTGCTTGCATGCAGGTCTGTATGAACCTTCACAGCTTCTGGTCATTCTGCCGCAGCTCCTGGATGCTGTTGGTTCTGCTTCCCCTGTTAATCGTAGCTTATTCAAGACACGTGCGTTATTTTTTCCTTCTCTCTTTTTAACACCTGCCGCGCAGCTAGCCGACGCGGGGTGCCGACAACGCGGCCGTGACGGATTTTCATTTGCGGCTGCCAGCGGGCGGCGGCGGGATTTTCCGCGTGACAGTTCCCGCAGCGGCGCCGAGACAATGGCCCGATTTCTGCAAAAACAACACAGAGGACGCTTTAAGTCCAAGGATTATGTAACGTGGAGCACCCATGAAATGGTCTCCGGGGAGCTCTTTACAACCATAACAGGATTTTCCCCTCCAAGGGAATGGGGGATAAAAAGAAATGCATGGCGATACATACGATATTTGATCATCTCTTATTTTTCGCTGCGTAATCTCATTCAGAGTGGCGCCATGCGTGTAACGCTGGACGTCATTCCCCTTTTAGAACAGAAAGGCGGGAACTTGGGTATTGCTCAACCGCTGGACGCTAACGACAACCGCATAGGTGGGAGAATGCAGCGGCTTTTATCCTGCCACTGGGGCGCGGCAGCCTGCTGGAAAGTGACATTTAGGGCCTTTTGAAGCCATTTCTGTTCAGACTGTTTTCTACGTGTCATCTGCAGTATGGCAGGGGGGTGTTGGCAGTGTGGTCACAGTATTGTGCTCTTCACGTTTCCACTGGAAGCTTCGCGACCTACAAGTTTGAAAAGAGAAACATTGTGCAACTTTATCTGTCATGTTTATTGTATGATAACGACTGCATGCTATAACGTGTACAATATGAGGCATTATTTATTTAGAGTATACAATGTGAATTATACATTCTTTGCAGTTTTGAAACCGCGCAGCTATTACACTGTGAAAAGAATGTCATGTGGGAAGAGGGCTTGACTGCAACATTGGCGCACGGAACATGTTCTGTTTGTCTGTGGTATTTAATGAATATGGACTAAGTATGCTGTGTTTCTCTGTCCTATAACAATTGACTGGATTTGATCGCAGATGCCCCCCCCCCCTCCAAACTGCAGCTGACAAAGACAGGGCTAGGCACAGTGTGACTTCTGGCCAATAATAATCTCTGCCCCCAGAGACGGGGTTAAATTCCTCCCCAAGGAGCTGGCGATCGTGCTGATTTGCTCCTCGGACGACCTCCCAGTAACTGGTGCTTATAAGTTGAAATGGATTCCATTCCTCGAGGTATGGATTTGCAGATCTGTGGGGCCAAAAAAATTCCCAAAACTCCCAGCCTTACCAGTAGCTTTAGTTTGACTGTCTGGTTTTTCCCCTCTCTCTGATGTAACAGTGAAAGAAATAATATATTAAATATAATTATTGTTTAAAATTATGATAATAATTGTGTTTTTTTTCTTCTGCTCTCTGGGGACTAAAGATGTATGCAAGCTGAGCTGGGTCACAGTGATTCTCATAAATGGATCCTACAGATTTCTGGACAGACCAGACTATAGTGCTTCTCCTTTCCTCTGTGGTCTCCTCGAACATTGTGTTCTCTCTCACATGTGTGGCCCCTCCCATGAGGCAGACAAGCATTGAATTTTCTGGTACAGAAGTTCACCAAATGTCCATGGACCATCGCATCTCGCCATGGGGGTCCATCAGTGTTGTGGGGATGAGTAGGGGCCTTGTGTGGGGGTCTGCAGTCCCTCATGGTGAGATCACTCAGGTTCAGTGCATCGCCTCTTGGCTGATACACGGCAGTTTCCTGATGTGTGGTCAAGAGAAACCCAAACCAACTGTAGAGCTCATGAGGATCGCTCATGGGGAACGTTCTCAGCACCATGTTCCCATCTTTTCACCTCCATCCTTCCCTACATTTTGTCAAACTGAATGCAGTTTTTTTTTCTAGAATGACTGAAATGATGAAGCTGCAGCTAGTATTCTGTGTCACGGTGAAGAATTTAATCACGAAAAAAGTTTTCCGAAGCAGTGATGGAGTTCATTGACGGAGGCTATGGGCTAAAGCCCATTTGGCAATGGCGTTTTCTCTGAGGAAAGTTGTATTCAGAAGGAGTGGGCAAGGCAGCTTTCGCTAGCCTGGGGCTGGTGGGCTTCTTCTAATTTAATTTCTGCGATTTGTCAGCACCGAGAGATATGAATAGCTCATAGTTTGTCATCGAACGTTCTTGGGGAATGATTAAAGAAACCTTTCTTGTTCGATGATCAGTCAACCTAATTATGCCTTGTCCTCCTGCACGCTGATGAGATTTGTGTAATTGGTCTGAAGGTGTCATCAGAAAAGCGAAGCATCGATCCGAGCTCACGGGGACAACGGTGACAGGCGCGGCTTGCTCAGCCGGCCGATGTTCCAGCTTCTCGCCTGAAAGATTTTGTCGAGCTCTACGCCAAATTTTCTGATAGCATTATTTCTCTTGCATCAAACAGTATTTGCCAATACAAAGGGTGGGCATTGGCATTAAAGCATTACTAAGTTAAATATTTGCATATGGTAGCTTACCATAGCGCACTTAGTAGCTATACCTGACATTATCCCGGTTTTATGTCCGTACAGCTGGACATCGCAGATTTTGGTGGCTCAAAGGCTTAGTAAGTGCTTTTGGATAATTAAAGTCCGCTTCCCTTCAGTGGAAAAGAATTCTTCGGAATAGCAGCTTCTGAAAGGCCTAGTTCTATGCTCGTAATCAACATAGCCATTCAAAAACCAAAGCGATTGGTGAATAAATCCCCATACTGGACTCAGTATCACTGTGTTAAACTGTATGGGGGATACTGACCAGATTACTTATGATTGACTGCATTTCCTGTTGTCTCTTAGATCACTACTGCACTAAGAGTCCAGTGCTACTGCGCTAATGCTAATATTCGCTAATGTAAACGCTCGGGATAGGCTCTGCTAATATGGCTGCTCTCTTTCTTGTGTTCTGCCCTGCAGTGGTCCGCTCCGTCTCTCAACCCTGGCCGAAGGGTCCCTCTGATCGTCACAGGCGTGGGCCCAAGGCTGAGAGAGACCCGGGGAGACGCCCTTGAAGGAAGCTGGGTGCAGAGTGAAGCTTCCCCATTGGGGGGCCCTTCCTGTTTTACACCACTGGTGAGTTTGGCCACAACTGCTTTTCACTGCATCCATGTTTCTGTCTCTTATATACAAGCAGGACACTTAGTCATACTCACCAGATCTGTCGCCCCTCTTTAATTTAGCCTATTTCACTCATTTCATCATGCTGTTGGGTTCGGGATCACATTTCCAATTTAAGACAATTTTCTTGGTTTTATCTGTCATTGGGTATACATTGCATGAAGTGCAAATGAAATCTTTTGTACTCTGGTCCATTCTTCAAATGTCTGGAATATCTTTATTTTCTTGAAGAAGTTTTGCTTGGTAGCAGTTAGCAGTATTTTCGATACAGAGCCCTTGACATCCAAGATGGCTATATGAATCATGCAGGCTTTGTTTCCTGTTTCTTTTTTCTTATGGAACTTGTGGGGCAGTTGTTAAAACTGATTTTTTTTCAGTTATTTCATAAAGGATGAGAGTATTTTGATAGTCTAAGGGACTAGGAACTAAGAGACATACTCTTGTAACATCAAAATTTACAGGGTATTCTTAAATGACACATAAAAGTCATGCAGAATTAGTCAGACCCTTGCAGTTAATGTCACATTTTGTGAAACTGCAGATTGATGCAGGATTTTTCGGATCTGCCGAAGGATTTGCTAACACTCTCTGTAACTCGAGATGATAAAAAAGCAGAAATAATGTGATTGCATAAGAAACCAGGCCCCTCAGTGTTTGGTGGAAGTAGCTTTGGCAGAAAACACAGCCATGGGAAGTTGGGAGTCAGTCTGAAACCACTTTAGCAGAAAACACCGCCATGGGAAGTTGGGAGTGAGTCTGAAGCAGCTTTGGCAGAAAACACCGCCATGGGAAGTTGGGAGTGAGTCTGAAGCAGCTNGCAGAAAACACCGCCATGGGAAGTTGGGAGTGAGTCTGAAGCAGCTTTGGCAGAAAACACCGCCATGGGAAGTTGGGAGTGAGTCTGAAGCAGCTTTGGCAGAAAACACTGCCATGGAAAGTTGGGAGTCAGTCCGAATCAGCTTTAGCAGAAAACACCGCCGTGGGAAGTTGGGAGTCAGTCCGAAGCAGCTTCGGCAGAAAACACCGCCGTGGGAAGTTGGGAGTCAGTCTGAAGCAGCTTTGGTATAAAACACCGCTGTGGGAATTTGGGAGTCAGTCTGAAGTAGCTTTGGTATAAAACACCGCTGTGGGAATTTGGGAGTCAGTCTGAAGTAGCTTTGGTATAAAACACCGCTGTGGGAAGTTGGGAGTCAGTCTGAAGNCCCGTTTGCCCAGCGACCGGCAGGGACCACCATTAATCATACCTGGGGGTGGATAATTGACCTTAAATCTGTTTCCTTTTTTATAAACTTCACAAAGTTTTTCTTTTTTTTTTTTTTTTTTGCTTAAACTCCGCTCAGGGGTGCACGCTGTGAGCAGGCTGGGAAGGAACCCTGCTGGCGTTTCCCAGAGCACCTTCCGTGTCTCAGAAAGCTGCCGCACGGCCGATTTATCTCTGCGTCCTGAGAGGACAATAAACAGCGAGGCGTCTTCTCCGACTCCGTGAGACGGCCCCGTATCTCAATGGAAATTCACACTCAGTTTACCTCAGAGGCCCCCGTCTGAATGAACGTTTCCACGGAGTGGACCCGGCGTGTTTTGACAGACACGGAAAAAAGGAGCGTGCAAAAAAAAAAAAAGGAACGAAAAAAGACAAGAGTCACCTAATTTTCCCCTTTCCTTTGGTGAGTGGCGGCCTGTGATTTGGAAAAATCTGTTTTCGGGGGGAATGGAAGCGGTACGGGGGGGGGGGGGCTGGACTGGGATTAAAATTCGGCCCTGGAATTTGGGCTCCCCCATTGGTGGGGGGGGGGGGGGGGGCGACATTTTCTGTGTGTCTGTGTGTTTCCGTCACGCAGCTGCCCGCTCGCGACTGATCGGTGTCGCGCGACGTGTGCCGTCACTGAAACGGGGGGGGGCACGCATCCATCCACATCCTGCATGCCACCCCAACTCCCTTCCCCCACCCAGGGCATGAACAGAACCACATCCTCTAGGGGATCTCCTCTCCCAGGCTGTCCGTTCGCTCACACTCGGGTGGGAGTCTGTGGTGCCCACCTCCTCTCTCTCTCTCTCTCTCTCTCTCTCTCTCTCTCTCTGTACCTCCAGCACTTGTCTCCGCTGTGAGGTTCTGCTCGTGGGGAGTGAAATCTGACGTGGGTGGACCCAGGACGCAGTGCAGAGTTGCACCGACCAACACTGAAAAAGTCAGAGAGGCATTACTTTAAAAAATTTTTTTGTTCATGTCAGGGACTGCTTTGGGCTGTTTGCTCGATAATACCCTATTATTTCCTTTTGTCTGCTCTCCGCTCAGTGGGAACAGCTCCTCAGAGTTTCGCTGCCATTTACATAACGCCTCAAAGGTCTCACTTCCTCCGCAGCCAATTTTTTTTTTTTAAATCCCTTCGGACAAACGTGTAAGGTAAATTTAGGCGACGACGCGAGCCTTCTCCATCTTAGCTGCACTTATTTCTCCTCTCCTCCCTGATAACACCCTGGTTTTGTGAATCATCTTAAATATTCATACAGCAGCATTGTGCAGAATATTTTTTTATGGTTTAACTCTTTCCTTGCCTCTGGCGTGGCCTGTTTTGTTCGCATGTCAGCTCTGCTTTTGGAATTGATTCTATTTAGCGTTAGCATTGTTAGCATCGGGCTCAGAAAACAGCAGGCAGGTCTCCAGGTGCGTCAGATGTTGATTCGAGTATGAACATAACCTGCACGCTCCCTCTGTGAAACCGAAGCGCGGAGCCTGAATCCGATAGGGTCTCCGCGACTCTCGCTCTCCACGTGCGCCAACTTTTCTTTTGTCGTCAGGGAAGAAATAAGGAGGGGGAGTATTTTTGGTGCATGGGAGGGAGAAAGCGTCTAGACAGATGCAGCATGTGAGCCGGGCGTGAAGATTCCCACGTGAGGCAGGGGGCTGCGATGTGCAGAAGGAGCCGAAGATCTTGAATCTCCGCATCTGAACGATCTCTGTTACCTGGATGCCTGGATTCAGCGTGTTACAGTAAGAGCCTCTTCTGATGGATGCTTATACGGGCCCTGGACCCTCCATCGACCGCCTCAGTCGTGGCCAACCATCGGAACTCTCCGGTACATTCCAGGGGCTGGAATCACATTAAACGGACGTTAGCAACAAAATCTCGGAATGCGGATGGCTGGCCTCCGTATCGTCCTGCCTCTGCATTTTTCAGGAAGCAAACGCTTTAAAAATCTATATATATCTAAAAAAGTCAATAGCGGGTAGCAGGTGTCCGAGTCTGCCACGTCCGGCCCGCCGCGTGAAAGGGGAGACGCTGGCTGTCCCGGGAAGCCTTGTGTTTTTGGGGCAGCTGGCACTGGTGATACCGTGTTGTGTGTGTGTGTGTCTGGGCAAATTCCAGATGCTTATCAGGCTGTGTAATCGGAGCGGGGGCCTGAAGGGTTTGCCCCGTGCTCCCGCTGTCCTCTGGAAATGCCCCGCTGGCTCTCACACTGTATCGCTGTTTGCTTTTGGCCCGCCCACTCCCTCTGCTCGCTACCTGGCCCGACTGGAATATCGCGCACCTGCCGGGCGGCACGCGGGGGGAGCGGAGGGGGCCACGCTCACTTCGCCTGCACGGTGATTTTCAGTCACGCCGAAACAAGCAGGATAATTCAGTTTCCATGCAGGTGTTCCCCCGTAAGCAGCCGTTCAGGTTTGCCCTATCTGTCTACTCAGCGGATGGGATTATATGAGGCGACATTTGATATCATTGCCAATTATGCCACTGGATATTATACATACACTCCTGCAGTTAAGTGTTTCCGGCACGTTTTTTGCCTCTTGGTGTTTGAGCCCCGAGCCTGGCTAGCTTAAAGATGAGGGTTGGGTTTAGGGTGTAGCTATGCCAAGCCCATGAGAAGGTAAGACCCCTGTCTTATGTCAGCAGGTGACGGAGTGATTAAAGAAACTAGACGTGAACGTTCAGTGACGTATGAAAAGACGACTAAAGTTATTCGGATTTGCATAAAAATAACCCGCAATATGAATGGATAATGAGTAATTCTGTTGGCCTCCGTATGTCAGACTTTTCGAATGAAAGCGTCTCCAGAGCAACTAAACAGTGAATGACAATGAGTGGATTTGTGTGAAGACAGGCTGCACGAGGAGGTCGCCTTCCTCTTTCGCCCCAAAAGCCTGATGACCACGCGGCATTGGCTGGTGGTGCTCCGGATGCAAAGGTCCACGTTGGCTAGGTGGGGCGGCGTGCTCTGAGATCTCCCAGAAGGAGACTCCCAGTCTGCCTTCTGAGCAACGGTGGTGGCGATCAAAGGCAGTCTGGCTGCCGAGTGCGTCTTTTACGATACGCAAGTGTGAAAAACATACGGCTGATAACGAAGAAACGACGGCTCGCCTTTCCGTCCGTGAGAAGCAGAGTGCCACCCTCGCCATTTTTTCCGCACTTTGGACTCGAAAGACGGAGCCGCGAACGGAGAGGTCGCTTGGTTAGCCTCTCGGCCTACGGCGTCAACGAGCGGCTCCGAGTGGGAGGGAGGAACGCCCTCGTAATGAGAGCCTGCCATGTGTGAGAAATATGTTCATGTAAGGACATGCTGCGGCGACCGCAGGTCTGCACCTTCCTGCTGAGATGGGATGGGATGTACGGGCGCTGGTCTCCGGCATGGTGTTACGGGTTTCAATCCGGCCACTGCCTCCACCGAACGCGGGCTACCCTGCCGTGTCGACCCTGCTTGGCGCCACTCAGGTGGATCGGCAGATCTGCATAGGTGTTGGAGCTCCTGAGGTTAGATTCATCTACACTTCCGTACAGATCACATCCCTCCTTAGGGTCATTCCCTCCCAGCACAGGCTGTGGACAACCACAATCCCGGATCAGCGTTTCCGGAATATGGATCGCGGGGTTATGGAATATCAGACATATCTCTTTAATTTCGGTGAAAGATCTACAGCCCCCCTTGGCATTTTTTCTCGGACGCAGTGGACATATTTT